ATCCAACGCATCATCCTCCGACACTTCTGCCATCTGCAATCTGACCCCACTACCAAAGACATTTTTCCCTCCCCACCCTTCTGTGCTTTCCAGAGGGACAACTCTCTCCGTGACTCCCTTGTCCGCTCCATACTCCCCACCAGCCCCACCACACCCGGCACTTTTCCCTGAAACCGCAGCAAGTGCTACACCTGCCCCTACACCTCCCCCCTCATCCCCATCCCAGGCCCTAAGAAGACCTTCCACATCAAACAGATGTTCACCTGCACATCTGCTAATGTGGTATACTGTATCCGCTGTTCCCGTTGTGGCCTCCTCTGCATCGGGGAAACCAAGCAGAGGCTTGGGGACCGCTTTGTGGAACACCTACGCTCGGTTCGCAACAAACAACTACACCTCCCAGTCGTGAACCATTTCAACTCCTCCCTCCCACTCCTTGGACGACATGTCCATCCTGGGCCTCCTGCATTGCCACAATGATGCCACCCGAAGGCCGCAGGAACAGCATCTCATATTTAGCTTGGGAACCCTGCAGCCCAAGGGTATCAATGTGGACTTCACAAGCTTCAAAATCTCCCCTCCCCCGACCGCATCCCAAAACCAGCCCAGCTCGTCCCCGCCTCTCTAACCATTCTTCCCACCTCAAGCCCCACCCCCATCTCCTACCCACTAACCTCATCCCGCCTCCTTGACCTGTCCAGCCTCCCTGGACCAATCTATCCCCTCCCTAACTCCCCACCTACATTCACCTTTACTGGCTCCAAGCCCGCCTCTTCGACCTGTCTGTCTCCTCTCCACCTATCTTCTCCTTTATCCATCTTCTATCCGCCTCCACCTCTCTCCCTGTTTATTTCAGAATGCCCTTCCCCTCCCCCATTTCTAAAAAAGGGTCTCGACCCAAAACGTCAGCTTTCCTGCTCCTCTGATGCTGCTTGGCCTGCTGTGTTCATCCAGCTCTACACCTTGTTATCTATAAATGATATAATTACTTATGTTGTCTTGCACATTCTCAGGATGTACCTGACACTCACAAGGCTATAGTTATTGTCATCCATAGTTACTGGGATATTGGTGGTTGGCCTCAGCCTTGAACATCTGCAAATATACTGCCGATACAGCTTCCTCAATAGTGTTCTCGAGAATTCTGATTATTGGTTCAGCAAGTTAAGATACTGTCTGACTTGGAGGGAAACTTGGATGCAATGGTGTTCTTGCAACATTGCTGTTTTTTCTTCTCTCAAATGTACAGGTTTTCATGGTACATTTGATCACTTTGATAATTGAGGGTAGACTGAAGAACAGTATTTGAATGGATTTGATTTGTGCTGTGTTCTATAGACAGGACATTCCAAACATTTTATTTACTTCAGGAGGGTAATCGGATTACTTTTAGTAATTTGATTACTTTGGACAAACATTTCAATAACCTATTTAGTCAGGGGTGCATTGAAACTTCACTGGAAAAAGTAAGGTCCTCAGGCAGCTAGGTAAGAACTATGATGCTGAAATGCAGAAAATAAATGTTAACCAACAGGCAAACAGTAAAAACTGAGTGGAGGGAACTCTTCTTTGCTGCCTTGGATAGCAGCAGGTTTTCTGCCAATGAATGGAAAATCTACATGATCATAATGAACTTGAATTAGAACATTTTATTACTATGCATTCGAGTTCTAATTTTCAGGATTAGGTAAAGATGTGGTAACGTGCTGGAAGTTACTGGGCTGACAGGTGCAAGTTTGACTTATTTATTCAAGATTCCAGTGGTAGTACAGTCATCAAGACACCTTCCTTTCACAAGTAACTGAAATATGACAGCCTTCACCCAGTTGAACTGATGAATAAAAATCCTCCCTTAAGAAACCTGCACAGAACAGACTCCTAAAGCACATCCTATGAGGCCAAATGGAGAGCCTTTTGTACTAGTTGTTGTTGAAAACTTTTATTGCTGGATTGAACTGTGATTAGAAAAATGAAATAATGATTTGTATTTGTATCACTGAGATGGACGAGGATTGCAAACAACTCTTGTAAGATTATTCTGCAGATTAAGCTAATTTGATTAATAATGTCTTCTTGATAGCATGCATATAGCATCAGAGATCTAGAAAAAAAAATGGCT